AGATATGAATCGTACATATGAGGTCTAGTTAGGACTTTCATAGAGACAAGGAGATATTATGGTGGCTGTTGTAAGAAAGGTAAGTTATGCGTTGTTTTGGTGTAAGAAATATTGTGGTACGTTTGGATCAAATCGTGGCTAGCTAAGTTTAAAGTTAACACAGAAGAAGACCATCCTTTTCCCCTATTCACAATTTTCGCCTTGTGCCATACTTCTGTATTTCACAGAATAATGCTCTTCACTATGGTATCTAGAGTTTATGAATTTAAGCGTAGTACTAGACTGGTGACGATGTATCACCAATTTACATTTTAGTTGACTAGATGTCACCGTGAGTTCTGTGTTGTTTCTTTCCTCACTCGTGAAACTCTCTTTCGGCTCCATGTTTTTCAGTCCTCAAAAATACAATGTCAATCGCTATCTACTATCCCCTTGATTACTCTTCTTTTGTTATCGCTCCTTAGTAATGCTGCTGAATTCTAATACTTCCACAGCCAGTAAACCCAGTTGCGTCTTAGTGTTTTTAAAGGCTTGCTTGGAGTGTTCGCGATTTTTAAAAAAATATGTCATTGGAGACGTTTACGAAGTTGTAAAAAAGAACTTGCCAACGTTTAAGTATTCACAACCGAAGATTTCAATACATTTGAATCTAGCGATGCCCTTAAATATTTGAGTTCGTAAAGGAAATGTTTCAATGCAGTAGTTTCATTCACAATACAAAGAATTAACTCTGAATGTTCTTTGAAATATGTGTGAACTGAAGCCATTAAACACTTCTATTGGAAGTTAGACCCTGTGTGATTTTACAATGTTCAAGTGTTATAATAAATTTATTACAGGTAGTTTGCCGCTAAATTTATGTATATTTATTCATGGTGGGAAGTTGTATCCCTTCCGTCATCAGATGGGCTTATATTAAAATCGCGCTCAACCTTAAATACCGGTATTTATATCGCAGTGGTAGTACAGCTACCGAGTGTCCAAAACATATACCGCCCCCACCTCTTTTGCAGTGAGTACTTCCTCGCAGATGAAGAAGAGACTTGAGATAACTGTTATATTCCGTGCTAATAGGAATATGGAATGGACAAACACGGTGGATAAATTGTAGCAGGTTTATTATAGAAACCAGTACAACATACAAGGAAGTAATAGTTATGCGCACGGTCGTCGCAAGTCAGTACAGTTGTGTGCGTGATGATATCGGAAGGCCGCTAGTTCTCGCAGATCCCAGTTCGACTCTCCTATACGGATACTTATAGGTGATTACCACCTATAGTGCCGCCACTTATGGGGTTGGCAAGTTATTCCATTACATCACTGACAAATTTCAAATGTTCACTAAGTTACCCTTCCAGTGTGCGATATAGTAACACAAATTAAGTATTCTATTAAGGCTACATCACAAATCGCATCTAACCGCTGATACACTAAGTGTAAACACTTACCGAAGCGCCGTTTAACTCATGCGTCCATTCAGACAACTAGATATGAGTATCATTTGTACAATTTCATGATAGCACTGGAACTTTAATGATACATAAGGTGTGTGCTCAATGGCATTAATATTTCATAAGAGTTGATATTGACTTTAATATGTTTATCATTAGACCTGACTTTTATATTCCGTGCTAATAGGAATATGGACTGGACAAACACGGTGGATAAATTGTAACAGGTTTATTGTAGAAACCAGTACAGCATACAAGGAAGTAATAGTTATGCGCACGGTCGTCGCAAGTCAGTACAGTTGTGTGTGTGCTGCTATCGGAAGTTCCGCTAGTCTCGACGCTATTTAGCAACTGCCTCACGCAGTCACATGTGGCACAAGGCCGAATTTAAAGTGGGGTTCCCGAGCCCGTAGGCTCGGCCAAAAAATTCCCGTGGACCCCGCATAAACGCGATCGGGTCTGTCTACCTCCCCGGACGAAACTCTGCCCTTCGGCATAGCCTCGTCCGGGTTCCTCTCTGCCCGAAGGCAGAGAGTTCGACTAGCGCAGCTGGGAAAGATCCGAGCTCGACTCTGCTGTCCACTGTCCTATCGGATACTTATAGGTGGTTACCACCTAGAGTGCCGCCACTTATGGGGGTGGCAGGTTATTCTATCACATCAATAACAAAAGTATAGTTCTGCAGAAGGATAATGAGGATACCATTGAATGAACATCCGAACAACGACGTCTTAGAGAAAATGCAAACAAAAAGGACACTTATAGTTAAAATCAGAAAGGGACAATTGAAACTTCTAGGGTCTATAATGAGGAAAGCGGGCTTTAACACTCACAAAATATACGGGATGCAATTGAGACAGAGTTGTCAAAACAGGGAGGTAACAAAACGGCAAATACTACTAGGATCTGTAGATTACTGGAAATTGTGGAGAGCCATGATCGCCAAAGTCATGAAGTTTCACGGCATATAGAAGAAGAAAAGTAGGTAGCTTTCCCTGTGGAATATAAATCCACAGCCATGAGAGTTATTAATGTTGTTGGGTGGCTAGCTCAACGCCTTGCGGGATTTGAATTCAGAGTTTTCCTTCTTTTAGATTGATTGTCAATCAAAGCTAGTGAGATCAGTCTACCCTACTATTAACTAAATACATGGGAAGATGGATTCATGCTTTTTCCAAGGCTATTTGTGCGAAAGTCGACACAATAAACTTGATCAGAACTTGAGCTCGACACTTTAGTCTCATTTTTAACACTGATAACACCTACACTACGAGCAGATTGGTGCCACTTTAGCGTGTATCCTACCACCGAATGTGTATCCTACATGATTAAGGAATTGTCCCGACTTATTTTTTTCTCGATATGTTAAAGGACATTAAGAATATTTTTATTTAAAGGATTCGAATGCCTTGTTTTATCATTTATTATCTCTTATTTTTTTATTTTAAATTTTATAATTACAACAATAAATGCCATCCTTCCTTACGTTTTTGCTTTTCCCCTTACGTTAGATAATGTAGGATACGTGTGCTGGTCGGATACACTGATCGGTAGGACACATGCTAAAACGACATCAACAGATTGATACATTTTAATCAGAATCATTAAATCTGTTATAAATATTCCTTTATTATCGATCAATGGATATTCTGATTTTATATTGTTCTATAATTTAAATTATAATTAATGAAATGGTTTGGCAAAAAAAGAAAAAAAAAGGACATTTTGCTCTTTAGGAAAAAAATTTAAAAAATTCTAATTTGTTCTTCGATGCCCAATGTCATTTCAGGACATGGGCGATCGTGGCTCTCCACAACCTCCTATCCTATTTCCATGGAAAGTGTTCAGGCGAACGAAACTCTTTATTACCCCAGTTCTAAACTTTACGGTTAAGACCCGCCATATCACGCCCACTAGTAAATCACCCCCATTCCCTTCGTATACCATTAATGAGATGCAACTTACACTCAAGCAGTTCCTTTGTAGAACTGACTCCCAAGAGGATGCTTCCCCGATCACTGCAGTCTTAACCTGTTCAAATCAAGGGTTAACTATTATCTTCCCCACATATCCTTATAAACCGTGCCCTCATAAACCCTCTACCTCGGCGGGCTGATGGGCTTTGTACACAGCGAACATTATTACCAAACGTAGTACTTAGGTAGTTATTAGCTGTTTCTCTTTTTTGCCTTTTTTATATCCTTGTCACTCCGAAATTCCGTATAAAAAATATTTGGTCGTTCCTTGTCATAGTAGAAGGGTTGCGTGTCCCAGTGATCCCAAGAGTGAAGCCGTCTGTAGTTTCAACTCTTGTAGGGCAACCCATGGCGGTAAGGAGGAGAAGAATGGACCAGACTGAACGTGACCAACTCCCGAAGACCGCAACAGCGGAATAGGCCAAGATCTATACGTTCTCAACGGCCAAACCAGCGGAAGTGTGCAGCGCCAGTCGGGCCGGTGTAACCAAGGCCGACCTTGACAAACCAATAATCCGACAGTTTGATGAAACCAGGTTTGCCAGATCTCGCCTGTCTCAATCCCTTGATAATTTTATATCTTTACTTTTTTTTTTGATTTATGGATTCATTTCTATTATTCTCATTAAAGTAATGACAAGTAAAAATGATGCATTTGATAACGAACTGTTCACTCCAACATCCAGTCTAAAATATTTGGTTGTTCCTTGTCATAATAGAAGAGTTGCGTGTCCCAGTGATCCCAAGAGCGAAGCCGTCTGTAGTTTCAACTCTTGTAGGGCAACCCATGACGGTAAGGTCAAGGAGGTGGGACCAGACTGAATGCGACTAAACCCCGAAGACTCCAACGGCGGAATAGGCAAAGATCTACACTCTCAGGCGGAAGAGTACAGCGCCAGTCGGGCTGGCGTAAACAAGGGCAGACCAAGCATCTGACAGCCCAGTGCAACCAGGTCTGCCAGATGTCGTCTATCCCCCTTTTGAGCCACAGGGAGGCGCTTCTGGCGAAGTGTGTGGACTTCTTCGTGAAGAGTTGTCCAGGAAAATCAAATTCGCGTGAATGGTCTCGCCAAACTGTCTAATTCACAGCCATCTCCGCCTCCAGGGGAGAGAAAGGTAATAGGGAGAGAGGATAACGATTCCGATGCTCCGATACGAACCGGTACCGACGTCCATCCTGTGAGTATGAAATCTTCTAAGCCTTTTTACATCATATTATCTGTCCTAGAAATTTTCAACTGTCAGCAGCCTCGTTCTGATTCTAAGTATAATTATCCTTTTCGTTTTCATTTTCCTTAAAACTTTCTCGTTGCTTACATGCCCGTTTATGGTATTCTCAGCATCCTTCTGTAGAACATCATCTCTGTGGCCTCAAGTATCCTCTTAATCAGAGATGTAGTTCTCCAGAGACATAATTAATTTTGTTTTTGTAAAGAATACGGTGAAACTTTAGCGAAATAACTCAATGGTTCATAACTTTCCACCCAGAATCACGTTTAACGAAAGTCCTATTCAATCCGTTGTTCTTTGTTTCTCGTCATTCTTGATTTTCGTCAATTGACATTCTTTTCAGTGTTTCTTTTGCTTTCATTTATTCTGATAACATTTGTCTTTGTGTCATCTTTCCTTTCGTTTTGGTTTTTATAGTTTTTTAGCGTTAAAAGAAAAATGTTTGTTGGCAATATGGCAGCTTTCGAAAAAATGAGAAAAGCAGTTACAATAACCCGGTCGCGGGTTTACTGACAAACAGACGACAATACAAAAATGCTGTCCGTGATTTAATGCTTTTCATGTAATTTACAGAATTTGATAAGCGAAAGCGACAGATCCTTTCTCTTTTCTAATAAACAAATCGAACTCCAATAGAAATCAATCAAAATAGTAGCGCCTAATGCTTGATAATCAAGCTTTGCTTGAGATAAATATCATTACTTTAGTTTATTAGATGAACCACTGCTAACCGTTCATTCAGCTTTTATGGGATTTTCTTTCTTCATTTCTTATTAAATGTAGCATTGTCAACCATTATTGATTTTAAACTCGTATTTAGTTTCATCTTTATTTTATTAGCTGAAGCATTGTCAGACATTATTATTTAATCTAGATTCGTACTTACTTAAAAATTCTTTATATTAGATAGAATATTGTCATCCATTATTATTTACTTTTGATGAGAATTTACTTTCATCTTCATTTTTATTAGTTGAAACATTGCTAAAATTCACTTATTAAACACTGACTTGCAATTGTTTTCATCAAAATTTTTATTCGATGAAATATTGTCAACAATTATTAACGTTTGACTCATTTCGTCTTCATATTTTATTAGAAGAAGCATTGTCAAATATTATTATCAATTTTCGACCAGTAATTCATTTTCTTCATTGTTGCTTTTTATTGCATTTTTGATGAAGCCGCCAAATTCAGTTGGAATTCAGTACCAAAATACCTGGGTATTTAAGCAGGCTCTTCTGAATTAAAAAACAAAAATTCACAGATAGCTAATAATTTATTTCTAATCCATGTCAAAGATTGACGGTTTGAATAAATTTGCCATGATGATCGACGACCTGATTTACGTTGCCAAAGAAGAGAGCTCTGAATTGTTATGCAATATTGTTCCTCCTATATAGAAGTAAATGATGGACAATATCCTCACAAATGAAGCTACAGACATATGGTTCTACAGAAAGTTGAGGAAAATGCTATGAATCGAAAATTTTAGCAACGACAAAGTGTTAGAGAAAAGCGAAACAAAGCGGACTCTTATGTTGAGAAAAAGATAATTGGATTTTTAAGGCACGTAATGAGGAAAGAGGGCTTGGAGAATTTGGCACTCACAGGGTATATTGGAGGCAAGAAGGGCAGGGAAAATCATCGAGCAATCTTACTATAATTTATTTATTTATACTTCCGATCTTCAGTCATTTCCTTTCTATCTATCGATCTATCTCTCTATCTCAGTCATTTCACATCTATCTATCTATCTATCTATCTATCTATCTATCTATCTATCTATCTATCTATCTATCTATCTCACTCTGTTCATATCTATCTATCTATCTATCTATCTATCTATCTATCTATCTATCTATCTATCTCAGTTTGTTCCTATGTATCTATGTACGTCAATCTGTTCACATCTATCTATCTATCTATCTATCTATCTATCTATCTATCTCAGTTTGTTCCTATGTATCTATGTACGTCAGTCTGTTCACATCTATCTATCTATCTATCTATCTATCTATCTATCTATCTATCTATCTATCTATCTATCTATCTATCTATCTCAGTCATTTCACATCTATCTATCTATCTATCTATCTATCTATCTATCTATCTCAGATAAAGAATATATACAGACAAGATTGAAATATATACGGTATTATAGTACGTATTGTACGACACCAAATCAAAGATACAAAGTAAATGTGGGAAAAAACAAAACAAAAAAAAAAGACAATCACCGAAATTTTGGTTTATGAATTGTTATGAAAATCATAAATGAATTATGAAAGATGAAAGTTAATAACTTCACATGTTGTTTTCTTAGATGGAATTCATTTTAAACGAGAGACACTCAGTATGCAAGTGAGATTTACCATTGCACAACAGCTTATCTCTTATTCGCTATGATTTATCTTTGCTTCCATTATGCAAATCTTATTTGCCAAAAGCTGAGAGGATGCGAAATGTAATTCGATTCAAAACATGGCCAACAAACATGGACGACAGAGATTCATATTTTCAACGAATATCATTTTAAATGTGCATCGTCATTTCGGATTCTATTAACAAGACAACAGCATATATTTGCATAATCAGCAAAATAAATATTAGAGAAAAAATTAACATATAAATATCTATAAAAACATTAGGTGTGCGCATATATATATATATATATATATATATATATATATATATATATATATATATATGGCCCTACGATTGCATTTAGCATAAAAGAGACAGTCGCCTCTGAATGTTGACTTCAATGACCACTCTTATATTTATATTTGCATAAGCTCTATCCCTGCTATTGAACACTTTAGCCCATAAATATAGCATACATTACAACTATACCTATCATATATATATATATATATATATATATATATATATATATATATGTATGTCTGTGTGTGTGTGCATGTGTGTGTGGGATAAATATAAGTTAAGGTATGCTATGTTCATGGGTTAAAGTGCTCGATCACTAGACTGGTAGATGTTAAACTGGCTGTTAAAAACACAGATATTTATCGAAACACTGGTACATATTTAAAATAAGTTTCTGTCACTAAGAAATAATATCGGATTAAAAATTCATTAGATGCATATATATATATATATATATATATATATATATATATATATATATATATATATATATATATGCCAGTTACGACCCTTGATTTTATTTTTTTTTTTCATTGGTACAAAACATAAACATAAGTAAAAAGTTTTAAAAAAGGAAAACGACAAATTATTTTTCAAAGAAAAAAAAACACTGAAAATCCAATTGTAAGTAAGAAAGTTTTAATTCTTCTCAGTAAAAATTCATATATTATTAATAAATATTACTATATTAATTAATATATTAATAAATATTACTATATTAATTATTAGATGCAATTTTTCCAATCCTCATTTTAGTCAAAAGAATAAGTTTTTTACAGAATCTTTATAACTAATTTATATATATATATATATATATATATATATATATATATATATATATATATATATATATATATATATATGTATTAAGACATTTTATGTTTATACATTCTTTTTATTTATTTATCTTTTTTATAGATACAAATATTAAAGTAAATGCTCTGTGACGTCATTTGTTTACATTTGATACGCCATGAGCAGGTATGAATTTACGTGAGAGATTCATGGAAGATTGAAGTTTAAAGACAGTAAATTCTATCTTGCTAACCGAACGCTCCTTCGTGGCCAAATCGGTAAAGGCACGTCAAGCTAAATGACAGTTCCGTATAGGATACAGGTTTGAATTCTGTCGGAGGACTAATATTTTCTGTGAAAATTTCTCGGACATTCAGGCCGGTAAATGTTGTTTAATACTGTTTATTATAAACAGAGCCTTTACTTAAATATTTGTATCTATAACAAGAATGTATAAACATAAAAATGTAATACAATAATTGTCGGGCTTTGTCCATTTCATAATATATATATATATATATAAATATATATATATATATATATATATATATATATATATATATATATATATATCAGCAGCATATTTTCATTGAGCCATGTTTCGTTGAATAATTTAGACATATTCTTCCTATTAATGTTCATCTTGATCCTTTCATATTCACAGACAACTTTTTTCGGTGTCGTTATAAAAGGACGAGAGAAAATCACCGTGTTGATACATATTTCTTTTATTTCAGAGTACTTTCGACATAGCACACTGTCATCATCAGAGTATTGTTTATTAGAAGATAAATACTGTAGTGTTCATTATTGCCAAAGACAAAATGGTTGTGTTCATTTGAAAACTATCTATATGAAATAACTGATTATGAAAGGATCCTTTTGAAAATTAGTAAACAGAACATGTCTAAATCATTCAACGGAACATGTCTCAATATATATATATATATATATATATATATATATATATATATATATAAGTTTCATTAAAAATACTGGCATAATCCTGCTGTTAATTCTTTTTATTTAAATTAAATTGATCAAATGATAAATATGTTTGTTTCATTTTATAAAATTGCCTATTACTTAAGGTAAAAATTTGGCAATGTCTACAAAAAATCGCTATTTCATATCTTCGATTTAATCATTTTTTTTTTCAGAAACTTAATAATATTTAACTTTTCATGTGTGCACAAAGGACATGGGAAATTTAAAGATCTACAAATTCTTTAAATTTAGACACCCCAACCTTACCCTGACTTGACCTCTTTGAATGTAACTGACATATTGATACAAATTATTAACCCTTACGCCTCTTTTTTTTCAAATAATTGTTCTAGCCGTTACCATAGTAATTTTAATTTTAATAATGAATGTGCTTATAAAAACACGTAAATTTCAAGAATTAGTTATTCAAAAAAAAATTTCGCTTGAGAATGGAACAGAGCTTGGTACTTTAATTCAATTTAATTCTATAATTATATTAAAGTTTTCGTCTCTTTTTTTGAAACATGAGAACTCTTATGTAGCGATGGAATCATATTTTTAAATAAATAATTATATTTAGGCTCTACTTTTGTATCGAGCACTATTTTTTAAAAATAATAGCAAAAGTACTAAAGAACTTTGGATTATTTACCTAACGAGTTCTTTCCTATTTTTCTATATATTTTTACACACACACACACACACACACACACACACACACACATATATATATATATATATATATATATATATATATATATATATATATATATATAACTGATAATTAGTTAGTTCACGGTCGAATGAAACCTCGTTCTACCTGGCCATTTAACACACAGAGGTAAAAGCGAACGTATTTGTTTGAAAGTTTCAAAATTTGAACGCAACTTTCTTGACTGGAAGAGAAACACGCTGTTGTCGCTTTCCGTGGCCATTGTACACAACAGTTAAATCAGTTCAAGGATAATATTTGAATCCTGTCAGCGTTTCGCAGGCAAGGCCACGAATTATACAGTAGTGGGGATTTCATGACGCAGGGAATGGCAATGATGATGATGATGGTGATGATGATGATCACTTTGTTCTTTTTCTTGCTTCCTTGAACCATTGAAGAAGGCCAATTTCAAAGATATTGATGCCATTGAAAAAAACTTACTCTACAGTCTTTAAGATACAAGACCATCCGCTCTAATTTCGATAAACACAGGATTGCTCTTTAGCTTATTTCTTTCGATATCTTATATATATATATATATATATATATATATATATATATATATATATATATATATATATATGAAATGAAACGAATTGAATGTAAATTCAAACGTTCATAACCTTAATTTGAAAATAGGGCTCAATACAATAGCAGGACAATATTTTTTGCATTCAAACATGTAAATAAACGCTACACGAATGCACTCATATTTCGATGTGTATCAAAACATCTCCCCAGGCGTTACTTTTCTTTTCTTTCTTTTTCGCGTGAAAAGAGGTTGTATTTGATTAAATTCCTAATAAATTGTACTAATGAGTCAATTACTAACGCCTGATGAGATGTGTTGATACACGTCGAAACATGAGTGCATTCGTGTAGCATTTTTTCTACATGTTTGAATATATATATATATATATATATATATATATATATATATATATATATATATATATATATGTATGTATTCATGTGTGTGTGTGTGTGTGTGTGTGTGAATAAAGACAAAAGGAAAAATTTTCTTAGACAACGCATTTCGTCAAGGCAAATGTGAGGATTTTATTTTGCAACAAGTATTCATAAACAAAAGTAAAAATGCTGTTAGTTTCTCAAAATTTTTAAATTTAAAAGACGCTCATAAATATTCATCAGGTTAACTGAAAAGTGAAGGGAAATTATGGAAGACGCTAAGTGACGTAAATCAATGTTCAATAGACGAGTAAAGTGAGTAAATGTTACATTTTTTATGCAATTAATATTTAAATTATTTTAGTATGGGGTATAGTATTTATGTATTATATATATTTTTTTTTATGAAGTAACAAAAGGTTATAAATTTAAAGGTTTTCTTTTGAATTTTTTCAACATTTTATGCCTTATGTATTTTGGTTTCGGCTAGAAATCATTCTTTCAGGAATGGAGAGACCTGGATCTCAGATTTATATTTTGATAAGATTCAATAGTGACATTCTCTAGACTTTTCCGTCTAAGTTCCTCATTCTTTTTAACAAGTGTGGCATTCTTTTTAACAAGTGTGGCATTCTTTTTAACAAGTGTGGCATTCTTCACCTCAAAGTTGTGGTCGAATTTATTTATACTTAATGCATTTCATAAATTGTTGTGCATGTGATCACTTTTGTTTCCATGGAAACGTTTTCTTTTTAATTACTGCGAGTTTTTCTAATGTACTCTGGAAACCGCTTGCAATAGTTTATTTTTTATATATATATACCTGTTTCAGAATGACTATTGGGGAAAAACACTTATACGAACATAGAAAAACAGATGGATCTATCTGTTTCCCAGTGGTATTTGCATGAAAGTAAATGTAAAGAACTCGACCGAAACTCGATCTCCGCTCGGCGATTTCCAGTTCCGACTTGCTTAATTAATATTAATTAATAAACATTTAATATGCGTAAATAAATATATAATAGAGATTAATAGTATCTGCCCCTTACCTCTAGCATGGCTTCGCTCTCGTTGCACATGATGTCACT